ATCATACTACACTCCTCGAGTGCTTGGGACGTCAGTCCCTCCAACTAAAGCTGTGGTTCTCAACTGGGGGTGATTTTGCTCCCTGGGGCACATTCTGCAATGTCTGGAGACATTTTGGTTGTCACGAATTATAGGGCGGGGGAGAGGGGTTCCTGCCAGCATCTAGTGATTAGAGGCCAGGGATGCTAGCTAAACCCCCATCACACAGGAGAAACTACCGCAATAAAGAATTAACCTAGCCCCAAAAGCCAACAGTGCTAAGGTTTTGAACACACGGCTCACAGCCGTGCCGCATGGAAAAGCAACCAGCAGAATGTTTCAGGTGATCCAGTCTCTTTATTTTGAACATTATTTTCGCTCTCTCCTCAAATCCTAGTCTTCCTTCTCTTGCCCTGGAATTTTGCCATAATCCCATGTCACTGTGCTCACCTCCGACGATAAGTAATAATGTCCTAACATGACACTTCTAGGTGAGCAGCAGCAGAATGAATTAAGACAGGCAAAACAAAAATGAGCGTTAAAATACAAAGTGAACCCTCAAATTTCAATCAAACTATCACAAACATGCATGAAACGAAGTTTCTTTTCCTGGATACCCTAAGCCATCATCATGCTCTGTGCCCGCGTGCAACTCTGATGGCCACGGACACCGTCTCTGCTAAACACACACGTGACTGCACCGATTTCATAAAATGATTTTAATAGAAAAGTACAAGGTATGAACAAAAATAAATAATCTTTATCTCATGTCTAGCCCAGCAAATTGTACATTGTATATAAAACTGATCTAAGTGGAATTTTCCTTGTTTCTTTTCTGCTTTTGAAACACTGAGACAGCATTTGAATGAAATCTTCTATATTCAAATCGATACATTATTTGCATTAAAAAAAATCATACCAACCTTTAATCATTCTACATCCATTTTTTAAAGTTGGCTAACAAGATGATGTTGCACTAAAATAAAATATCATCCAATCATCAGGTTTAAGTGTAAAGTTTGTGCAAACAGGTAAATTAGAAGATGCATTTCCTAAGTTTTAATTCCTACACGCCAAATGTTTCCTGTATTAAAAACTCATTTCATCGTCTTCCTTTCAAAACATGACCTCTGGTTTTCCCCATTCCATAGAGAGAAGGGAGGCTAAAAAATACTTTAAAAAAAAATAAATATTTTAAAAGTATACTTTACAGTGATAATGCGGTATCTTCGACCTGTGCCTTGGTGCGTATCTGCATTACATCTAGGCTTCAAGTTATAAGTACCTTTTCTATCTTTCTCCATCTATATCATGCACCACTCAGTCTTTGGGGACAGTTTTTGCTAATGACCTCTTGGAGCCAGCCACTACCAGCCTCTCATTTGGAGCCCTTATCCTACTACGGTATCACATTTGATAATTCCAGTGGCTTGAATAACGTTTTTCCAAAAACAAATTGAAAACTGGTATTGGCAAAGTCATGAGTAAAGGGTTTCAGGGAGGCTAATAAACCAGTCTCAGGAGGTCAGCAGCTCGAAGAACCGAACAGATAAACCGGACTGAAACTTAAAACAGTTTTCCTTTTCCTTGAGCCCATAATTACTATTTTGAACATGACTCTGTTTGCCGCTGCCTGTATATAAATTTTTTGTTAATTTCCCTGTATTGGGAAGATCTTGAATGCACTCCAGGATGAGAAGGGAAAATATGCTGACGTTCCTAAGTGAAGTATATGTTTTTGCAATAAAGAACACTGGTCAATATACAACTGAGGAAAAACTGAAACAGATGTGAGTCCTAGAACCACAAGCGTTTGAATTTGCCCAGAAATGCTATTTTAAACACTCTATATGTTGGTCTACTGTTTTTTTGTGGAATAATGCATTCTTGGCATCCTTAAAAGGTTTCAATATGTTACAAGGTTATCCGGAAAGAAAAAAGCAAAGGGCTAACATATCCATCTGTGCGGTGCTGGCCAGATTGCGGGGTACGTTTTCAGAAAGCACGAGAACTATTAATTGCACTTAACACAACGAACCTTTAGTTTCCCATGAGTTTCATCCTCGGCAGACTGAGACTTGTTTTTCATAGAACTACTTTCAAAGGCACTCCGTCCCTAGTAACTTCAAACAGAGAGGTGCAACAGAGGCGGTGGTAAACACAAACTTTTGGGTGAAAATACTGGTTATGGATAAAAGCATGTGCCTTCTGCATTCTTCTCCGAGATGTTACAACAGCAACACGCTCTAAAACAATTAAGTTACATGCATAATGCTCAAAGAATGTGAGCGATCCTATAACCAGCTTTAAGCCATCTGCTTGACTTTTCTTTTTTTTTTCTTGAGGAACATATATAGGAAAGAGAATTCCCCTTTTGTTCCATTACATATAGAAATCTTTTGAAGCTTCCAAAGTTTGGCTTTGGTAAAACTCCGTACTCTTCTATTATTCTGATGTGTAGTCATTCTAAACTATCCCTCATGGTTTCTCAAAAAAAACTTCCACATGAAGTATCTGAAAGACAATTGAAACCGCTTACCAATATACAAGTAACGTTTTATTTTTATATTCTATCTTCCATTTGGCATAAGCCTTTCGATGTTTGTTTTTTAAACCAGTGAAATATACAAATCACGCAAGACAGAAATATGTACATTAAAAGTACAGAATAAAGGCCATAGAAGATATACATAATATCTGAATGACAAGTAGAATATCTTACATTAAATAGTTTCTTTTAAAAACTAGGATTGTTAAACTCAACTCTCTTCATAAACATGAATCACTAAAAAGGAACAAAATCTGGTTTAGCAAATAAAAAAATTACTTCATGGTTTTTGTATAATAAAAACCAAAAAAGTGACATTTTAAACTAATTAGTGCTTTATAATTTCAAGATCTTTTGTTTGCAATTCACTGCAACTGAGGGGACGAGAATATCTTCGTGCAATAAATTAAAGAGCCACAGGTGGCGGAGGTCATTGTGAAGGTCACTGAGCCTAGAAGGGTTGCAGGAGATGGGTGTCTTTCCAAATTTATAAAATAGCATAAGTCTGAAATAAGAACACATTTGATGGCACTTTTAGGAAAGAGGTGTCCTTTGCTTTAAAGAAAAAAATTTTTTTTTTCTAATTAGCTATGTATGCCATGAGCTTAATTTTCCTTATGGACTCAAACAGGTGCTATTAGGCACCAGTTTCCACTCCGCAAATTGAACCGCGGCAACACAAACGTGGACGATGCTTCTGAGTTTTGAATCTCTCTTCGTTTCCACATCCATGGCAAACGAATAATGCCCTTTCAGGAAAGTGTACAGAGATGAAGGTTGGAGAGAAGGGGGTGGCGCAAGGCCGATAAAAGGAATTTTCAAACCAACACGCATTTCGCAGTAAGACCTTCCAGATTCCTCAGAAACAAGGCTGTTTTGTGATGCTCCCTCCAGGTGTGATCGATCGCATCAGGGCCGCAGCCCAAGCTCAACCTGGAAAACTTTTGGAAAAATCCCCATTGGATTGCAATGAAGAGTAACAATGCTCTAGACGGAGAAATCACCTCAGAATAAACTGTAAGTAACTGGCTGCACTGAGATATAATTATATTTATATATAGATGTGTGTGTGCATATATATATGTTATGTACAAAAAACTTTTGAGATATCAGGCACCATTAAACCACACCCCCCCTTATAAATGCAACTGTTCAAGTACACTAGGAACAGCCTTAAGGTACACCTGCAGTATAATAGGAAAAGCTGGAGTGGATAGTTGACACATAGGATCACAAGAGTGAAACGCTTGCAACACCTCTGGGAGCTCCATTAGCCATGTAAGGTCATTAAAACCTATAAAACGACTGCTCCTCAAAAATAAAAGTTTGAGGGGGAAAAAATTCCCTAAGTAGCAAACCGTTTCCCAAGTGGAGCTTGTCATGTTTCATTTCCTGTCCCACAATCAAAGGGACCTACTGGAGCTGCCTTTTGGCCAGCATCACATCGCACCAAGGCCAAGAGGAATCAGAGAGGACCTGGGGTTGAGCGGGAGGGCCGATGTCACGGTTTCCCCCTCACGCAGGATTTCCGCTCTGGGGCAGGGCTGATCTGCACCCAGTTCAGTTACCCTGTTGTTTGGGCTGAGGATCTGTGAATGGAATTCGTTTATTATTTTCATCATTATCATTTATTAACCAAGCATCCCTAAGAAAATTACAGTGTAGTTTTTTTGTTTTTATTCAGGCCAACCTCCCTACCTCTCTCCAAACGAAAAGGCTAGTACCCAGAATCATTCGGGGATCCTTTTCCAATCTGATAACCTAATTCCTGTAACAGCGTCAGATCAGGATCTTGATATGGGTGTTTTTAAGGCTTTTAACTTCCGGAGCTTTCCTGCCTGTTCCCCAAGTTTCAGTAGCTACTGGTACAGAACCCTGTGCAGATTGAACGTTTGAGAAAAAGGACAAATGATACATCTTGGAGGGATGTGAGATTTTTGCTGTTACTTTTTAAATTACCAGTTTGAAAATGTTTCCAACTGGCAGCCCCTAGGGAAGGGGTGGGTCTCATTTCGTGTTTGTTTCTCTCAAGACCCTTCCACGTTCCCTAGAGCACTAACAATCCATTTTGGTCACAGAAGCTGAATCATGCATAGAGCTGTACCACCCCCTTCCAGCTGGTTGCTACCTGTCCTATATTTGACCCCACAGTTGAGAAAAAGAAAACATCTTTCCTTTCCCTTCTAGATGTGCACACAACTAAGGGTACTTGTAATCCCCCCTCATCCTATACCATCAAAAGAAGTCTTGTCTTACCTTTCCAAAGATGCACAAAATAAATATTTGTCTTGGTTCCCACCCCCCCATTATTGTCAAATAATAATTATAATAATAAACCACAGAGTTCTTAGATGGGAACAGAAAAAAAATGCTTCCGGTTGCGATGCTGGGGGGAGGGGGGAATAAAACAATATTAAAAGAGAAACCAGAATCACTGTACGTTCTATAAATAAGTGGGTCCGGGAGCAGGGCTGGGTGACGCGCGGGCAGCGGGCACCCGCTATTTGCACACGAACTGGTCCACGATCTCCGTGCACTTCTTGCACTTGACGTAGCAGCACCAGTGGAACTTGCAGTGGCAGCGCTCCGTCTGCACGGTCTTGAACTGGTCGTAGCCGCGGCCGCAGCACATGAGCTCGCAGCCGTCCATGCCCTCCGACGTCTTGTTGCACAGGCGGCCCTGCGTGCCCAGCGAGCCCGTGCTCTCGTTGCGCACGCAGTAGTCGGGGCTGGGGTCGATGTAGACCAGGTCCTGCGTGGTGGGCGAGTTGAAGCGGCTGTTGACCTGCACCAGCTTGCCCCGGCTGTTGAGGCGCATGGCCGCCGCGCTGTCGTACTTCTCCTTCAGGGCGTCGCCCACCTTGCGGAAGTCGGCCAGCTGCAGCCAGCACGTCTTGAGGCTACAGGAGCCCGACACCCCGTGGCACTTGCAGGCCACATCGGCCAGGTTGTACACCGTCTGTGGAGAGAGAGGACAGTCAGCGCACCCACTCGCAGAGGAGCCTAGAGCACAGCGGCGGAGGGGTGTGTTCCCAAAGCTCTCCCCCCCACCCCCGCCCCGTCATTTTCCCCCGGGGAGCAGTAGCCACCAGCTCCCCCAGGGCCCGGCCTAGTTCCTCCTTCTCCTCCTGCGCTACCAGAAGGCAGGTGTTGCCTTCTTTTTTTTTTTTTTTTTTTTAAGATTTTTTATTTCTTCATGTAACAGAGAGATCACAAGTAGGCAGAGAGGCAGGCGGGCGGGGGGGTGGGGGTGGGGAGCAGACTCCCCACTGTGCAGAGAGCCCGATGTGGGGCTCGATCCCAGGACCCTGAGACCATGACCGGAGCCGAAGGCAGAGGATTAACCCACTGAGCCACCCTGGCGCCCAGGTGTTGCCTTCTTTAAAAAAATCTACAAAATAAATTGGCTCTTAGCCTCTCATTAGTATACCTCACCGGAAGCAACAACCGGCTTTTAAATGGTAACAGGAAAACACTCCAGTTGCTTCTTTTTTCCCCAGGAAAATGTCTTGAACACTGATCCCAGAGACTATCCACAATTCCTGCCTTTCTCACCTGGGTGAATCACCTCTGCCAGCCTATGAGGGCAAGGCTAGTATCTGACCCACGTCACAGAGAGGAAAAGTTACCCAAGAAGGGAGGGCTGCCAGGATTTGAACCCAGGTGGTTGGGCTCCAAGCTCATGCTCAGTGACTTGCCCATGGGCACCCAGCTGCTAAGTAGGAGGGCGGGGTGCAGGGGCAGCCCTGGTGTGATCAGCGTTCAAATCTCAGTCACTATTATTATTAGTGTCCCAGGCACTATCATCAGAGACTTTATACTATTTATCTCATTAAAGCCTCCCAAATATCACTATAATGGATTAGATGATGGTACATGGCACAGAGAGGGTAAGTGTCCCACACAGGCCACACAGCTGGAATGTGGGGAAACCAGGTCTGGATCTCAGGCATTCTCACTCCTGTGTCCTGCACAGTTCCTAACCCTTCCCCACACTGTCTAAGAAAGAGTACCCACACCGGACCTAGGCAGATGTGAGCTTTTGTCCTAACTGTGCCCTGGCATTGAGGCAACTGGCTTTACCTCTCAGAGCCTCCTCTTTCTATCTGGGAAGGGGAACTGTAATGGTACAAGCCTTGCAATATTGTTGTAAGGATAAAATGAGGGGATGCAAGGAAAGTGTTACATGGCATATGGGATGCAATCAGTGAATCTGCTCTTTCTCCAGGGTGATGAGCCCAAGGCATCTGGGTGCTGGTCCTTGGCCTCCCAGTAGCAGCGTCCACTGTCCTGGCCTCACAGCACCGTGCCCAGCAGTCTGGGAGGCGGTGGCTGCCTATTTATAGTCCCCACTGCTCACAGCTCCTGTGCCAGTCACCCTTCACAGCTGGAGTGGTGCCGGCAAGCTGCAGGAAGACTGTCAAGAACCTGGAGGCTGGAGGGAGCTAGAAGGCGCCTTACACCCAGAACAGCTCCCTTCGTCCTCTAAGGATTCATAAAGGGCTTTTTTTTAAAAGGGGGGCCAGAGGGCAAAATGTACTCCCTTGGCAAAAGAGATTCAGGCACTCAGCTAAGGTGTAGAAAAGTTTTGCAAATGTATTTAACCTTTGCTCCCCTTTGAGGAAAATAAAAAGCGAATGCCCCCAGGCGATTCTAATATGATTTCCTGGCACAGGGTCCAAATCTCTTCCTCCCTTACCCCACTGTCCTGGAGGAAAACTGTCTTCTCTGCAACCTCATCTGCCAGGATCCAAGCGCAGCTCACTGCTCCACTTATAAAACCTACCAAAAGAACTCACTCTCTATTTAAAAATGTAGATGACATTCTAATGACATTCTAATATTAAAGGTGCTTTTCCAACTCCCCAAAACCCCCTCTTTCCACTTGGAAATCCCTTGACCTTCTCTTCTTGGTTGCTAAGCCTCTGATCGTTTCTCTTCATGAGAGAAGTCAAAGAAATCCCCTCCATGGATGAAAGTACCCAATATGGGCACAATAGGCCTGGAAGAGTCAACCACATCTCTCTTGGAGGTGCGTCTGGTCTGAGGCCCTGGGCACTGCTGTTTGCTCAGAGTACTGGGATGTGCCCCCTGTGAGGACAGGGGCAAGCTTTATGGGCTCCCACAGGGAGTGGGGCTGACATGCCCATGATGTGGCCTTGGTCAGCTCCAGAGGGGAGAGACAGCAATGGGAGGCTTGAGAAAGAAGCTCTGAAACTGTAAAGTGACCCCTTACAGCACCACAGGCAAAAATCTACGGAGTTTAGTCCTTTCTGAGCACCTCCACATTTTTAACATCAATGTGAGAAGCTAGGTTAGCTGGAATTATCTAGATAATCTTTGACTTCTCTGTTCCCCATTTCGTAACATCTAACAATTAAGTTATGATTTATCAAGCACTCACTAAAGGCGGATGCTAAACTCAGCCCTTGGACTGAACCCTGTGAAGCTATTGTTTTACAGGTCAGAGAGAGTGAAGCACTGGTAACTTCGTATGAACCTACCCCTGTATGATCCCACTTACTCCTCATATAATCCCACGCGATAGTTCATGCCATGACCTTTCAAAAGATGTGCAAATGAGGAAACTGAGACTCATACATGGAAAGGAACAGAACTGGATCTTAACCTAGATTTCTTTAATTCTGCAATCGATAGCCCTTTACCCCCTGAGCTGTGACGCATGAGTTTAATAAAAACGTGCCTGGGCTTGTATCTCAATCCATCAATTTTTCCCCCATGGCCATGAAGTGGTTCTCTAGGGCCTCAGTTTCCCAAGCTTTAAACATGAGGGTGTGTGGTTAGAGGGTTCTAAGACTCCTCCCAGTCCTCTATATTTTACTCTGTGATTATCTTCCCTTTTCCTCACCCCAAAATACAGAAGAGTGAAATCTCTGACCAGAAAGTTCCTGGCACCTACCTTGGGTTCTGTGAAAAAATAATGACCCTGGTTTTCAATGCCGCCAAAGTTAAGGAAAGTTTCACCCCTTCATTTTAAAGCAGCCATAAAGTGCCATGTGTTTAACCGCAGGAAAAAAAGGGTCTTTTTAACTGTTGTGGAGAAGCGTCCCACCAGGGGAAGGAAAGAGTGGACCCAGAAGGCTGGTGAGGGCTTGCAAAGCTGGTCTCTCTGGGCCCTTCTGAGTGGCTCTCTCTTCTATCCAGAACCACGCTCGAGTGGCCTGATGGGCAGACCTATAAAAGTCCACACTCCTAAAAATGCCGTCGTTTTCCTAGAAAAACCCTTTAAACAGAACAAAACAAAATAAAACCCTCAATCCGTCAGGCCTGCTATCTAATGCCATGAGGAGAGGCAAGGAGAAAGCAAGTGAGGGAAAAGCCAAGTCCTGGAAGCTGAGCTGAGGGCTTTCTCCACTGGGCACCTCCCGGGATAAAGAACTCCCTCTCCCAAATTTAAGCCCAACCACAAACATGTTCCAAGGAGGAGGGAGAGCTTTATTCACATTTTTATTTCTGAGCTGGGCTAGCCAATGGCACTGGGGACTAATTAAAAAGGCAGAGAAAGCTCTTTTTTTCCTCCGGCGACTGCAGAAGCACCTTTGCTGGAGGGGCCAGGGCGGGATGATTCACCTCCAGGAGGCCTTTCTGGGGCGTGCACCCCTCTGCAGAGGGGCCTGGGTGTAGGTGGGGAGGGCAAGAAGGGAAGGAGGCGGACAGGGGAGCAGCGAGGGGCAGAGTCAGAAATGGAGAGAAGGGGCCGGATGCCGGGAGAGCGGCCGAGAAGCAGGTACACCTGGAGGGCGGTGCAGGGCGGCACCGAGGGCCGGAGGGCCGGCAGCCGAGCCTGGGGACCCCAGCGGGACTGGAGCGGGCGGCGGGGGGCGGGGCGGGCGGGGGGCTGGGGACGGGGGCGGGGGGAACTCACCCTTCGGCCGGCCTCGTTGTTGTGCAAGTTCATGAGGATGCGCGCGCTCTCGTACGAGCCCTTGGCGTGGATGCGCTCCCGCTCGCGCGCGTCCACGAATTCCTTGGCGAAGCGGTAGCCATAGTCGATGTTGTCCCCGCAGCCGCCCCACAGCCAGTCCCGCGGCAGGTCCTTGGGGCGCGCGGCGCGGCTGCAGCCGCAGGTGGACAGCTCGCCCTCGCGGCACGCGCGGCTCATGGCGTTCACCACCCCCGCGGCGCTCACCGCGTACGTGAAGGCCGTCTCGCGGCTGCCTGCGGGCGGGACGCGGGGGTCACCAGGCGCCTGCCGGCGGCCGGGCTCCGAGGGCCCGGGGAGCCCCACCCACTCCACCCACCCAGCGGCCGGGGACAGAGGGGCCGGGGGCGCCCCAGCCCTAACACCCACACCCCGGGGGCCGGCCCCCACCCCCAGGGGAGGAGGCAGGACAACCGCCCAACACGCGGCGGCGGCAAGTGACAGGAACAGCAGACCCCTGACACCTTTACTCTTGACACTGAACCGGCCACTGCGCTCAGGCAGCGCTGGACTGGTTTTCTCTCCAGGCCCTGAAAATCCTGGAAAGAACGCACGTGAAAGAAGTCATTGAGGGAGAACAGAACGTGGGGAGACCTCCTTACGCTTATGTTAAGGTCTGGTGTCATTTTCATCTTGAGTTACCTCAGGCGGGAGCACAGAATTTGCTAGGCTTAGAGCCTCTGAAAGTCTCAGGCCCTGGAACCCTGGAACCCAGAGGCTGCAGCAGCCCTACTCCGGGGGGCCCGGCTCCCCCTGTTCCATCAGGAGGCATAGGGTGCCTGTCTCAGGCTCTTGAAGTCCCCAGAGGACATTTCTAAACCTGTTCCTAGAGTATTAAGAGTGAAAGTTGCCCCTTCTTCAATCCCAAGCTGATGGGCCTGATACTTCTCCTTCCAGAAGATGGAGGTCTACTTCTAACAGCCTGCTATCAGTTATGCTACTTCTGCAAACCAACCCCCCCCCCCCCCCACAGCCTTAGCCTCAGAGCATTAGAATAAATAGCAAGAAGGAAGAAACCACAGTCTGAGGGGAAAGGAAAAGTCTTCCTCTTCCTGAAACCCTGTACAACACTGATAGAGGAGTCCCATTCATTGGGAGGAAAGTGGAGGCGGTCGTAGACTACCTCAACTCCCACTTGTACATGGAGACGTTTCTATGTGTAACAAGAAACCACTTAATAGAAATGTGGTACCAGAGAGAAAGGGTTAACACCTTGCCCGCTGAAGCTGGGGCTGAGGGGGTGTACTGGGAGGTAGGGGGCTCACTTTCTTCAACTATAAAATAAGTATTTAACTAGATGCCTGGGCAGAAAAAAGGCCACTTTTGGTGCTGAAATCCCTGTACCAGAGTAAGTTTTTCTGACACTTAAAGAGCTTCCTAACAATCTTTGGTGGTGGGGGGGGGTGGTAACAGCAGCAGAACAGCTGACAACAGGACTCCACCCCAACCAGAAGGGTCCGTCTGAGGAGGACAGCTATATCATTCCAGGATCCCACAGGCTGCCCTCTTCGGGACTCGATCTCTACACTCAGTCCACAGACATGTGTGATTCCTCCTTCCAGGAATAGCGAAGGTTCCCAGCTACCACAGACCTTCCTCCCACAATTTGAAAAAAATGAATAATTTGAGGAGCGTGTTGGTGGTTGGCAGGAGGATACAGAAAGTTCCTAAGGGGTGTTCCGTGTATCTAACTCAAATGAGAGAGGCAGGGCACATCAGGGAGTGGAGAGAAAGGAGGAGAGCAGACAGATTCTGGGGAGTTATTTGAGGATTAATACTGATAGTACAGAAAAATTTGTGGCCCCAGATGGGAGATCTGTAGAGTAAGGCAGCCGCTAGAGGAAGAGAGATAAAGAGTCCTGTGGAGATAGAAGAACATGAGGTACTGTCTTTCCAGGAGACAGCGCATAAAAGGGCTTTTATACAAAACACAATAATGCTGCTTTTTTCATGGGTCTACCTTGAGCATTTCCTTTTTTTTTTTTTTTTTTGCCCTGGCACCCAAACCTGGTCAGAATCTCTTTAGCTCATTGGTCACTGCAGGGGAAAATGTCAGTTTGAAAAGTGCTCTTTGGCTAATAGCCTATGGATGCAGCTATCCCAGATGGAACACTGCGGGTTCAGTTCGGGTTCCCTCCCTGTGAAATCTACCTCTCTTCAGACCCTCACACCCCTTAAAAATGGAGCCTTTCTTATGTATCTTTTCACAGTGTGGAGACAAAGAAGAGACGGAGACAAAAGCTGAAGGAAAGGATAGCGTGATGAAAAATGAGAAAGTTTCCGAAATGAGGAGTGGGCCCTTCACTGGCCAATTGTATACAGCGCCTCCCAGGCAACTAGCACCCTAGAAAAATGAGTCAAAGAGGGATGGAAGTGGCAGCCTGAGTTTCTCAGACACTGGCCCCATCACAGGGTCAGATTCTCACGGATTGCTCCCCATGTCCCTGGTTGTACTTAGTGCTCTGGAGTGAGTACATACACACACACCCCTTGCAACATCAAAGGTGCCTTAAATTTTCCCTTAGCTCCTTCTCTTCAAACAGACTCATAAATAAGAAAGTGAAAGCCAAGTAAATTTCCCACTGTTAGGGTTGGGTCCATGTTCCCCTTCCACAAAAATCTATTCTGGTTTTTCTTCCCTCCATCTCTTTTTTAAATAAATAGAAGAGAGGGCCCCTATTCCTCCGGAAGCCCAGCAGCAGCTTCCTGCCATAAGACCCCAGGAACCTGGGGGACTTTTGGCAAAGGAGGATGGGGTGGGCTCTCAGATGCCCAGGACATGGGTAAACTTGATGCTAGTATCTTAGCAGGGTGCCCCAGGAGGAAGTTCGATTCCCACCCACTCGCTACCAACCCAGATGGGAGTACCACACAGCTGAGGACCAGACAGGGCATTTGCAAGGGACAATTAACTATAAGCCTTTGTACCAAAGGTTCTGCTTGTTCCCTGAGGAGGCAGGCTCTTTGAATCTTGGACCACATTTTAAATAAATCTCCAGCAGAACTCATATCCACTTAGCAAATGATAGCTTATTCTGAACATTTTGGCCCAACATAGGCTACATAGGAAGACGAGGAGAGGATCTTAAATCAAAGGCCTGTTCCAGTGACGACACAGAAAAACCATTCCAATGGCTGTTTTGCTTCCTGGTTACCCATCAAAAATGTATGGCTTGTGCAAACTCATATACACGAAGAAAAGTGCTCCCAGAGTTTGACAGGGAGGCAGTGTAGGGGGAATACATAAGGCCAAGGTGAGAAGGGAAAGCTGACAACTTACCATTCTGATACGTTGTGAGCTTGCTCACAACAGGGCAATGCAGAAGGGAATCTCCACCACCCCAGTTTACTATACAGGGCACTCCACGTTCAGGGTAGGCTCCTGTGTTCCTGCCGCTTAACTCCTGAATTCGGATCCCAGTATACACATTAGCACATTTTAATCATTAACAGGAAGGACAAAGCCCTATGAAACTGCAGGCTGAGAGTCGCAGACCATTTTGCCATTCAATCAGAGGAATAGCTTCCAGTCCTGTATTATTTTAGTATATGAAGTCGCTTGGCTTCTTGGCTCAAACATCCACTGACAACTCTTTTTTGTTCTCAATGAATGCACTTTTCAGGGTTTTTATAAAAGCATTTTATCCATCCGTGACGGATATTAAGCCAACTTTTTTTTATCTTCAGTCCGTCTAAACAGTTAATTGCTTTGATAAATGGCTTCTTATTTTAGGAATCACCGCGGTCATATTAATTATAAGGGCTTGTTTGCATAATACTAAAGGGACCTAAAATATTCACACTAGAAAACACACACAGGATCCCATCTGTCAGATAGTATCCTATGCTATTAAACCAAACCAGAAGCAAACAGAGTTTCCAAATTCTTTGCCTTTGGCCCCATTTTAATGCCACCTCCTCCCTGCATGCACTACCAAGTTCAAGGATACATTTAACCTAAAGAATCTGACTGTGAGCAATACATTTAAGACTTTTTTTAAGTCTCTAGGTTGGGATCCGAAGCATGTGCTTGTATGTCAATAGCCAAAATCACAATGTAAATGGAACCACTTCTAATTAAAATTCTTTCTGGGCCTAAAAATAAAGCTTTTAACATATATATCTCTATAGCCTCAGGAAACATCTATATTAGGAAAATTAAAACCTTATTCACTCCCAACGTAGCCAGCATTCGAAAGATGACAGTATTTAGTTTGATGCGTGGGCCATTTGAATTGTGGCTTAAAAGACTTCTAACCGTTAAAAGAGTTTTGAAGTTTAAAAGGATATAAATGACTCATCTTTCCTCACCTCCTTTTGAGAAACTGAAATAAGTGTTCTGCTTCTCTTCCAAACAGAAGGCATTTTAGAAAAAAGTGCAGTGTTCAGAAAAACGAAGGTGTCTCTGATGCTTCCCTTCTGATTTAACTAAAGAAGCCCCCAAACTTATTATCATCAAGGTGTGGGAACAGGAATTAAGGCCAGGGGCAGTAGTGAGGAAGATTCCGGAAGACTGCCCCCCACCCTGCGCTCATCCAGCTGGAAGACTCCCTCCTTAGCAAGCTCCTAAGTGCTGACGGAAGCTCGTCTGCAGGAGAGGGCTTGATCTGCATTTAACCAGCTGTTGCACAGTGTCCTACCTACCTATCTGCATGACCCGGCCGAACACAGAGGTGTTGTCCACGGTGCTGCAGTTCCAACGCCGATGCCGGAACTGATACTGGCACTCTTTGATGCCCGTCTTCGCGCCTTCTCCGATGTACTGCATGTGGTCTTGGTACAAGTGGCACAGTTTCTTCTGTCCTTGAGAAAGTCCTGCCAGCTGGCTGCAGAGAGGCTGTGCTCCTATGATATATACTTCTGACATCTGAACAGGGTTATTCATACCTAGCGACCTAGAAGGGGTGGGGGGAGATGTGCATTCAAGATTTACGTGAACTCTCGAGGTAGGCCCCCTGAAAGCATGTCAGCGAGACAGAGTTTTCAGCACACAGATGCTTTTTCTCTCCTGCTTGTCCTCATGACAAAGTAGGAGAAGGGCTTCATAAAACTTCTCTGTTTAAACTGCGCTCAGAAAACGGAGGTATTGTACAATCCCCACCCCGCCATCTGGCTCCTCAGTTAGGTTTTCACTCCCTTCCTTGCCCCGGTTGCCATCTACCTGAACCCACATTTCCGAAATGGAGGAGATGGCGGTTCGGGGGACGGGCCTCTGACATTAGAGAAAGGGGACTCCCTTTGCCCCACAAATTGGACGGATCTGCCTTGAAAACGTATGCATGTGAAAGCAGACAAAATTAGACACGGGGAAGAGGAGAGAGGAGCTCCTTCTGACTGGTGCAAGAATTGGGACACAAGTAGAGAGACTGAAGAAAATTCACCAGTTTCTGGACATTTTAAAAGGGCCCCTTATGTGATTGTAAAAGACCCAAGACAGGGTATCCAGTGAACACAAGTCATGTTTGACAGTCAGAAGAAATGCTATTCATTTACAGGGAAAAAATATCCAGAACTCCATAAAAAATAATCCTTTGGATACACTGCAGTCTATCTACCAGGCCCCTAACCAGAGAGAAACGCTCGTTTAAGGACATTTGACTACTTCATGTTCACCTCCTTTTGATCAAATTTCTAGCCCCAATACTTCCCCACTTGGAGTGCAGCTGTCTTCCTAGAACACTCTGCCTGCCTCAGACCCTGAAGGTTAATAACCTCGAGTGACAGAAAATAAAAGCTGGAACTCACTTTTACTACCTAGAGGTGGCAAAAGTAAATTTTATAGATAGGCTTACAATTATTAGAGAAGTGAATTTCGGTGCCCTTTTATTACATGATGTACTACAAGCAGACATCTGAACAAGGGCCTCACAGAAAAAAGGGGTAGATTTATAGGGTCCCATTCCCTACGGAGCTAAAGATTAAGCTTGACGATATTAACAAGTTAGAAGAAAATTCTGATTTCCAGATATACACACAAAATATATTATACACATATGTATCACATAAAGGCACTCAGACTCACGATTCAGCTTTAAATACTGCAGCATCGTACCCACGAATCTTAGAAAAAAGAAAATCAAACAAAGAATATGTACTTAGAAGGAACTTACCACCAAGAATTGGCTTCTATTACAACCTGGGCGAAGGAGAAAAATATGGCCAAAGCCATTAGGAAGAACTTGGAAGACATTGCACTTCCAGCCGTCCCCAAAGCAACTCCTGGGTTTAATATTCCAATCGACTTCTGGAGAGGGAAGAAAGGAGCAGATGTTTATTGCCTCTCAGATAATTTTCAAGCATACAAGTTTAAACAACGGAAGCATCCGGGGTCTCTTAAGTTTACTGTTGATTGACTGCGCTTCTCCTCCGTGAGTTTTTTGATGGCAAGATATCGGCCGTTTCTTTTTCCAAATTAATCCACCCACGCAACCTCACCAGGAAATCTGATTTCGCTGGGATCCTGCGCGCGGGGCACGCCAGCGATTACAAACATGTCTCAATGCTGTTGAGTCAAAGCCCCGGTGCCAAGCGCTGCCTCTTTCCTGCTCGTTCGCTTCCCGCACCCCCTCGCTCCCCTCTAGTCCGCGCTGTGCTGGGTCCCTCCTCGGGAATTCACTCGGGAACCCGCAGCCACCCTCGTCCGCTCTCCGACCTGGGCCGAGCAACAAGTGGAGCCGGAATTAATTCCATGGGCGAGAGGAGCGCGAAGGCTAGTGGAGCACGCCGCCGGCGGCTGCGGAGGAGGCGGGGTGGCCGGCGCGGGGGTGGGGGTGGGGGTGGGGGCAGGACGCGGGAGGGAAGGGCAGGGGGTGGGGGACGAGGCCCAGGGGAGCGGCGTGCGCCAGAGTGCCCAGCTGGGAAATGCAGTTCGGAATTAACAGCGTATGTTTCCTAATCAGTTTACAGGCCGCTTTGGGGGAAGCCACTTCCAGGGGGGGTAAGGGCAGCCTGGGTTTCCTTAGGACACTGTTCAACCAGATTGGAGTGGGGAGGAGATGGGGGGCACTGGGGATAACGGGGAGAGAGACCTGCTCTATCAACCCAGGAAACAGGAAAACAGTGCCCCCTCCCCTGCCTGCGGCCTCCTCTTGCCACTCTGCGCACCCCGGAGAAGGGGAGAAGGGATAGCACCCCTGAGGCAAATAGGGGGTCTGTCCTGGGAGAGGATCCCTTCCCTGCCCTCCCACAAATTCTGATTTTTCATTTCACTCTTTCTCCTGTCCCCCTTCGGTCCCCACTCCTGACAGCTGCCACGGAGAAAGAGGAAAGGAAACCAAGGGGGACTCCAGTTTTCTTTGGTCTTGGTCTGGGCTTGTCGGCCACTTCGCCACCGCGGCCCTGTGAGCCTGGCCTTAGAACACCTCCGCCCCACCCTCCAGCCCAATTCAGACTCGGTTCGGGAAGTCCCGAACGGTGAGAGTGCAGGGCGAGGCCACCGCGGGTGCGAGTGAGCCCTCGGCGGGGCCAGAGATGCGCCGGCTCCCACGCCGCGGCTGAGCCCCTGGATTCCAGGGAGCAGAGAGGGCCCCGGCGCGAAGGTTCCCGTTGTGAAGAATTTCGGGGGCAGGGGGCGGCCCTGGGAGCTTTCGCGGCCGTTCCCCCACCCCGCACTGGTGACTTATCCACCTGTAGGCGGCGGGGGCGCGAGACAGTGGCCCGTGTGGGCGGGAGGAGCGGGTTTCCAAAATCCCCTTTTACGTTTCTATTAAGTGTAACCCGGCTGCGCTGCACCGCCGGCAGCCCGGAGGGAGCCCCTTCTTCGGGAAAGGAAAGGTGAGCCTTTTCCAGGCGGCCGAAGGGCCTGAAAAGTGCGCCGTCAAAGGGACAGAGGGGACCTAGGCAGCCTTGGAAAAGCGAGGGGGCCCAGGAGCGTGCCACGGCTTTTCTGTGCCCGCCGTCCTTTTGACCAGACAGCTCGGGGCTTCTCCAAGAGGAAACGCTTATGTGGTCCCCCGAGCCCGCTAACCAGGGCTCTGAGCCCTTGGCCCACTCATTCTCCAAACGCCGCAAAGCTAGGGGCGCATCCCGGAGAACAGAAACCTGGGGTTTCCCCAGCTGAAGATAGAGAAGGCTCGGTCTCGCTCCCCACCCCCGCCCGAAGTGTCAAGTTTCCTCCAGGGGAGGGGGTGGGCTGCGAGGTCTGCCTTCGCGCGCGGCCCAGGCTGCAAAATCGCCTCCCCCCACCCCTCCGCGGCCAAGGCCGCGCACGCACACACACTCACAACACACCCATGCACATTCACACACTCAAACGCGTTCAATAGACACACACGCACCGACGTGCCTCCGAGACGCGGGCGGAGATGGCTGCTGGCCGCGCGCACTTTCCGAGCTTCCCGACGGGCGGGGCACGCGGGGCGGGGCGCGGGCAGCAGAGAAATTGATAACAGATTCCGCGGATTACAGCGGATCTCTTTGTTAGAGGCGAAGCCACACAACCGAACCGACTTTGGGCCCGATGACCCTAGGGAGAGTCCGCCCATTCCTAACTGGGAGTGGGTCACTGGGTCTCCGAAACTCGGGTCTCCCCAGCTCCAGATTAGGGGTAGGCCAGAGGTGTCCCAAAGGGGAACAGCCAGGAGAGCCCTGAGAGTCGCATCTCCACTTAACCCCGCGTGCTTGCCCGGAAGCACCTTGGCCCTCTTCCCGCTCCAATCCCCGTGCAACCCAAAAAAAGGCCCCACAAGTTTGAAGGACTGAAAGAACCCACAGCGAACTAATAAATACATCGACTCTGAAGGGTAAACACCCCTGCCTGTTTACCAAGAGATCTGATCCCAAAAGACAGTACGAAATGAGACCTCTCCGGAGACGGTCACACCGGGGGTAAAACAAAAGTTCTGGGCAGAGACTGAGTTTACTAAAGAACGGGCTAAATGTTTTCGAACACTTTCAGAGCCACGAGAAGCCCGCTTATGTAAGGTCCTCAGAATCTGTTCCTAGCATGCGATGGGGTGGAGGGCCGAGGGTGCTTGAGAGTTTCTAGCGCAGGGGAGGGGTGAGGTGGAGGGAGGACATTAGTGCTCCCCCGTTTCCAAAGCCAGAGCAGCTCAACGCAGTGACCCTTATTCTGTCTCTCCTCCAAAGCCTCTGCATTGGATTGAAGGTGTTCCTAAACCACCTTTATCCACTGGGGTGCGGGCTGGGGGTGATGAGGGGTGGGAGACAGGAAACCATCACTCTGGTTAGGTGAGGTTCCCAAGCCACAGAGCGGGTCTGAGCCGGCGTCCAGCACCCAAGTCCTCAGCTCTGCGGTCCCTAAAGAGAAATTCTGCAAAGGCAGGAAGAAGATTCTCGACCCTCACCCATGGGCGCTATCTCATTCGGTCTGGGCATCCCCTTCCACTAGGTTTTTTGAGTCTAGGTTCCCCCAAGTCTGGGAGAATGGAAATGAAGGGGGAGACCAGCTAGAAGTCAGAAGCGAGTTTGACCTGGGCTCGTGGTGGCTAAAAAGATAGGAAACTCCAAGAATCCCTGCTCTTGGTAGGAAATAAACTTTGTTTTCCCCACTGTGATCTCTTCCTAAAAGAGAGAAACAGAAAATTGTGGGAGATAAAAGACTGCAACCACAAAGTTGGGACGCCCTGCCCCAGGAAGTGCCCAGAGAGAAGAGGGAGCCGAGGGGCCTGAGCCTGGTGAGGCTGCCGGGAGGTCCTCTTTAAAGGGGGTGCGGAGGAGGACGTAGGGCTCCCCTAAGCCTCTAGCCTGGGCTCAGAGGGATCGACGACGCAGCCCCTCACCGCCTTGTTGTGTCCACAGCGCTACGTGTGTGTTGTGTGTGTGTTTGGGGTGGGGGAAGCCCTAGAGAGAAGGTGGAGGGAGCTCCTTGCGCCCAGTGATCAGTGCAAGGACTGCCCCGGCTCTGGACTGAACAGCAGGTCCGAGATCAAGGAGGCTCCAAACCAAGAGCGATGGCCAAGCCCGGCTGTTCCCTGTCTCCCCACTTCCATCCCAGGACGAGTCTCTTCAGACTTCAATACTTTCTCTCCTCTCTCTCTCTCTCTCTCTCACACACACACACACACACACACACACACATCACTTACACCTTCTCACACAGGTTAACCTCCAAGCACAGGCTCTCGACTTTATCCAGAGGAAGAGCAGAATGAAGGAGAAAGAAAATTAAAGATCAGTTGAACCCCCACCCTTCAGGGGCAGTTTCAACTCCGCTTTTTAATAGACGAAGAAATTGAGGCCGAGAAAGAGAAAGCAACACTTGTCCCCCCCCAGAGCAGGGGTGGGAGCGCCCAGGCCGTACCCTAGGCCTCCTAGGGCGACGCTCCTGTTCTACGCCCCGGGGACGAAGTAAACCCTTCCTCCTGTCTCCGAAGTCCCGTTTGCTGGATCGGACCCCTGGCCCCATCTGTACTGCGGCGGCTACGCAGAGCAGTTTGTTCTCTGGGTGCTTCTGAGGGGCCCTCGAGAGAGAGGTGGACCTGGTGGTCGGGAAGGACGAGCGGAGCCCGAGGTGGGAGGCAGAGGCGAGCAGCTGACTGCCCACCCCAAGGAGCAGACTCCCAGGCGTCCTACCTCGAGGCAGCCAACAGGGGGCAGCCGGCACCGCACTGCGAGGGTGAAAAGGCAGCGGGAAGAGCTGAGCTCGGTGCGCGCGATGCTAACCCCTTGTGCACCGGGGCGCTCCGGTGAGGAAAGGGAAAGGCCAGGGACTCTCGGGCCAGTCCTCCTGGGGGAGGGTCATCCTTTGTGGAGCCCGGCGGGTCTAAGGCTCGCTGGTAAGCACAAGACTGGAGAACAACTGACCCTTTACTCCCCTCGCTCCCCACACACAGGGCACGGATCTACACACTCAGACACAGTTTACAAGGCGTCTCCACAACTTGCGCGCTTTCAGCCTTGCCCCCACGAAACTCCCCTGGCAGAGGCTGTCTAGAAACGAAATCTCCATATCAGGCTGGGGCAGCAGCGAATCTTGGCGGGAGGGCAGGGGCTGAGGAGATGCGATCCCACCCCTGGCTCCAAGGGACTTCCAAACAGAGGGTTGTCCATTTAAAAACGGGAGAGGAGAAGGGGAGAAGGGGAGACGCCAAACTGGAATTGGAGAGTAAAACAAGGCCCCAGGGGGCTCCAGATTTCGGGTTCTTTTTAAAACTTTTTTGGGAGGGGAGCAGGAATTTGTTTGCTTTAGGAAACATCTTAATTCTAATCCCAACCTTGTTTTCTAGAAAAGTAAAATGGGAGAGGATCAAGAAAAGTGGAAATTAAGGATCGAAGCTTGGAGGACAGACAGAGGAGAAGTTGTTTGGAAAATAACAAGTTCTATTGCAGGAAGAAATGTTAACTTTTCGCAAAAGTGAACTCCCGGTGACCCTCGGAGTGTGTGACTCGGCTTTAACATACAACTGACAATTAAAACAAACAAGAGTTCACAAACTGCCCCCCTCCCGCTGTCCCAAAGCGGAGGCCCAAATGTTTCCAAAGGACAAGGCAGATTCCGCGCAGGGGGCCAGGGCGCGCTCTTTCAGAGGACGGGATTAGAGCCACCACTGCCAACACTCCCCGCCCCCATCACCCCGGCAAAGTGCCGGAGCTCACCCAGTGGCGGCTAATAATGGTAATAACGCGACCCGGCTCCCACGCCGGGGTGCACGCTGGACCCCACTAGGCACTCTTAAAGGCACACCGGCCTGCAGCGCTGAGATTCCCTGGCCCGGACGAGCCTGCAACCTGGCCTCCCGCAACAGAGGACGAGGGGAGAGGGGGCGGTGCACTGCTCTGGGGGGTAGGCTCCTAGTCCTGCCGCCGGGTCTCCCAACCAAGGAGTCCTCCTCCCCTTTCCGAGCCCCGGCCACACACCCTCTTGGTGCCCGCGCAGTGGGCGCTTCGTAAATATTTGTTGAATTGAATCATTATCCTGTTACTGAAATATACATAGTAAATTACACTGATGTTTCTTAGGGCAAGAACAAAGTCTTCGGTGAACCGCTCTCAGTTCTTCTGCCCTGGCTCTTCCTCACTTTTCCTCCAAAGTCCAAAAGGTTTGCAGAACTTTTGGTGGGACAAGAAGTCTCCCGGGAGACAGAGGCAGTGCGCGAGGGTGGGCGAAGGGGTAGGGGTGCCTGCCAGCTACGCCGGAGTTCTAGCTTCTGGAGGCAGTAGAAGAAACGGAAGGATAGGAAGAGGTATGTATGTGGGGGGTGGGGGTGGGGGTCAGTTAACTTCCAAAAGAAAAAAAGTGAAGAAAAAAAAAGTGGCGAGCGTCAACAGCGCACAGAACACCTACCTTCATGGCGAGGGGGAGGGGACGCGGTCGCGGGGAGGAAGTCGCCACCAGAGCGAGGGCAGCCGAGGAATCCGAGCGGAGCGGCTAGGTTAAGCCTGGGGGGACGATCCCGCGCAGAGCTTCGGGCTCCTCTTGGGCGCGTCCGGCAGGCGCAGGAAATCGGTGGCGAAGCGGTCACTCGCGCCCGAGTCCGAGGGCCCCAGCCGAAGCAGCGCCGGGATGCGCCCGGGAACCGAGGGGGCGCCGAAGCCAGCCGGCCGGCAGCAGGGGCAAAGCCGAGCCGGCGCGCAACAAGGGAGCCGCGGGTCCGGCGAGGGCGTGCAGGCGACTGTTCCTCGGCGAGGCGCTCCCTCTCCAACGTCCATCAGCGACGGCGGTAATTAGGGCTTTCCAACCCCAAATGTGGGCGTGATTGTGCAAAAGACTTTACAACAAATAAAAAAAAAAAAATTCTTCACAAGAGGGTGAAAAAAATGCCCCACTACTCAACTCTGGCCCGGGGCGGGGGCGGGGGCGATCCGCGCGCCCAGGTGCCCCCAGTTCATTCACACCACGGATTCTGCAAACTCCCGGCGGCTCACGCCTCCTGATCTCCAGCTCCTCCTCTCCAAGTCTGTGGCCGAAACGTCTGCTTCCAGGCGCTGATCCTGTGGCCGCGAGTGAGTGTGTGGACGTCTGTGTACACACACAGACACACACCCACCCCCCACCCACCCACACACTGAAGCTTTGGGGCCACAGAACAATCAGGCGCGCATGGCTTTTTCTCCGGGAGATGCCGCTGAAAATGCACAAGTCGCCATCCGGACTACAAGAGTCAGCGCCAACTTTTGTCCTTTCATTTTAGGGTTTGGCAAAAAGGGGGCGCAAAATGGGTAAAAGTCGTCCCTCGAACGCTCTGCGCGGCGGTTTCGGGGGCGATGAGCGATTGCCCCGGGGGAGACACTGGCTCCCCCCTCCCCTCTTTCTCTCTTCGGGTTAATCCCCGTCTTTCCCCCGCCTTCCCTAGGCGAAGGGCGAAGAGGGGCGAGGGCACCGCGGGCGTGGGGCTGGGGAGGGGCGAGGGCCAGGGGCTCCGCGGCGGCCCTTCAGCTCTGGCGGTCCATGGCCGGCGCAGCTGCCCACCTCCTCGTTTGGCGCCGGGGCCCGAGGGGCGGGCGGGCGAGCAGGCGGGCGGCGGGCGGCGGGCGGCGGGCGGTCGGGGGCACGGCGCGGCGGCGGCGGCGGCGGCGGCGGGAGGAGCTCGCTCGGCGGCGGCCGCACCGAACCGGACTCTGGGCGGCGGAGGCGGCGCCTTGGAGCTCGCAGCAACCTTCCACGCGATCCTGCGCCCCGCAGCCAGACTGACCCGCCGCAGGGACCGCGACCCCCCCCCCCCCCCCCCGGCCCTCCTAGCCAACTGCCTCACTCTCTCTCCCTCTCTCCGGACTCCTCTTTCCCCTGCTGTTCTTAGAGGGGGAAAAAATTTTTTTTTAAGTTGTAGAACCAAAGGCGGCTGGAAAGAGAGAGGGAAGGGGGGAGAAAAGAAAGAAAAAACTCAACTTCGCCTATGCGCATGCGTGGTGAGGCCGGCCTATGACAAACTCCATAGGATTTTAAAGCCGTACCACGGCTGGGGTGCAGGGGGGTGGAATACGCTCCCTGCTCGAGCCCCCTTCTCTGGGCTCCCCATCCCCCAGGCATCTGCTGAAAGAGAGAGGTCCACTCTGCAGCGGCTGCCTGCCCGCCGCCCGGCCGTCTTCGATCTTCCAAAGCCGCCGACCCTCGGGAGGATGAACCCCAACTTCCCGGTCTGGACTCCTTGGCTCGCGGGTCCCGGGACGCTCCCACTGGGTCTGCAGGGGGCCTGCGGCCCCAGCACGGAACCTCTGGGAGGACCTCCTCCCCATTATTACCCCGGGGGAGGGTCCCTAAGCCCCGAGGCTGGAGAACAGGGTAGACGCGCCCATCCTGCATCGCCCCAGTGTAGTAGATTGGGGACTGGGGCGCGCGATTCAGCCTCTAGCTGCGACCCAGCGCACCCGGATGCGACGTGTGGTGCTGCCCGGTGGATCTAGGTGGTTGCCCTCAGGTGAGAAGCTTGCGAAGTTCGGCAAAACCGGATTCCAGACAATGGAACTTTTGGACACTTACAGACACCTGTGGTCGTCCCTGCAGGGACGCGGTTGGCGGATGTGTGCCCCCAAAGTCCAGTATGCCAGGGAAGCCACCCCCAAACCATGCCTCCCAGTGGAGCAGTTCTTGTTCTCAGTCCTCCCCATCCTCTAGACATCCCAGGTGGAACACACACACACACACACACACACACACACACACACACACACACACACACACACGATTCAATTTCCACCATCCAGCAGCATACATTTGACCTTAAGGCATAAACTACGCAGCCTGGGTTCTTCGGGGGGGGGGGGGGGCGGTGGCTGTTCTGTTTTGTTCTTCCATCCCTGACTCCCACCTTGGCTGACCACTACATCGCGCGGGGAAAGACTGCTGAGACTCTGTCCCACCCTCTGCAGCCCCTTCCTGGACCTTACTTGTCTCTGCTGACAGGAATCCTCCCCAGCCCTGGCCTCGTTTGGCCACCCGCACCAAAATGGCTGTGTGGGCTTCCCAGGAACTGCAAGAGATGCCCTTTCTCCCTCCGGCCCTGCTTTCTTTAGCCAGGGCTTCAGAAAGCCTTAAGGAGGGGGAGCCCAAGGTCATCAAAGCTCCTCTCGAGACATCTCCCGTTCATCTCCGGAGTTCCGTGTCCCCTTACATTCTTTAGGCCTTGCCCACTTAACAATAATGACCTGTGGGCATTTTCCAGTTTTCCGATCTAGTCTGAGATCTGCCATTTCCAGGGGAGGGTCTGAACATGAGAGGTCTGTGCTGGGAGAACCGCCCCTTGGCAAGCCCTCCCTGGTTCCCTCTCTCCCTTTTTGCTTTTGACCTGCGTCTGTCTCAGCGCCGGCAACCCAGATGCCCAGAGGCACTGGGCAGTGGCAGGACAGGAGTTCAAGAATAGAGTTCTCAAAGGGTACTGAAACCCCTCCATACCCGAGTGACCCTGAGTCACTTTAGATGCTCTTACTGCTAAAACAGAAGGGCTAGTCACTTGCTCTCACCCCTACAGCCTGTCCAGAAACCCTGGCTACCCAACACAAACCTTTTTCTAAAATTTGCCGAATTCTGAATTATCTGGATTATTGCTACTTTTCTGCACTTGCCTTTGCTTATGTAGACATAGCCCCAATCGTTTTTATTTCCTGCTTTGCTTCTTTTCTCTAGAAGAAGGTGGTGTTAGGTAGTGGTTGAGGGAAGACTGAATTTCCAACCCTCCTGGGTTACTTTGTAGCTGTCAGGTCTTGGACAAGTCATTTAGCCTCTCGGGGCTTCAAAATCTTCTTCAATACACATATAAACTCACAAACAAACAAAGCACAGAGAAATACAATGACCTGTGGCAGGGGTGCTGTGAAAAGGAAACAGATGACCTTGAAAATCAGGCAGGAGGCAAGAATGAACAGGGGGGTCATGGAGTACTCAGCGTGGGTCACTTGCCAGGCACTCCATACCCTTGATTTTTTCCAGTCACAGGGAACAGTCACACTTTTCACTGAAGAAATATAAACAGCAGGGAGTTGTTGGTTATCTCCCCAGATTTCACTGGCGCCCTTTGCAAATTAAATCATTATATGCCCCCCCCCCCCAATTTTATAATTCCAAAAAATCCCCAAACTTCTGACATACCGATCCGGCCCCAAAGATTTCAGAGAGGGGACTGTGAATTTTCTCTGAAGATACTAATAACGGATGTGGTGAGATCTCACCCCACAACGATGCAGGAAGCTCCCTAACAGCGTCTTCCATGGCTAGAACACCAGCACTCAGGACAGGCCTTGGCAACTAGTAGGTGCTCAAAAATATCTGTTGAATGACCAGATGAGTGCGTGGATGAAAGGATTATTTCCATAGAAAGATGCCAAGGGGAACCAACTGGAAATCCACTTTGAGTCCTCAGCCTGAGCTGCTTCTCTGGAAAACCAGGCTGGGTTGCAAGAGCCAGTCCACCCTGGTGTTGATGGAATTGGCCAGGAGAAGAAGGGACACTGATGCCTCCCCATCGGTTAAGGAGGCGGAGCCCGAGATTCTCAAGGGTTCCTGTTCGTCAGACCCCTTGCAAACCGTGTGCATGTGCGCATGCGCGCTCAGATTGAGTCGTCTGCAGACACACCGTGGAAGGCATCGCGGAGTTTCACTCATTAGAAATGCTTTTGAGTCCATGGAACCAATAACTCAATATTCTTGGCTGCTCTCCCAACAAGATTATTTCACAAAACAGAGTGCAAGATGAGGAATTTATGAACGATCGCATCCCTGGGCCGCCTTTCCCAGTGGGAGAAAGCAGGGCCTGGGTTGTCATTCTGGGAAAATCTACCCCCCTTTTATGCCCGGCAAATAATATTTTATGGCCCCGGGTTTATGGTGGTGTTTTAATGATCCACCGTAGAAAGCGGTTTTCTCTCCAGTTGCTAGAATTTGTTAAGAAGGGCTGGAGGCCATAAAAGAGGGATGGGCCCCAGGGACAAACAGGCTCCATCTTCTGAAATAAACTAATAAAGGCCCCCGAGATGTTTACTCCTTCACCTCAGAGTCAAGACCAGCCGGGCTGCCCGCGAGGGGCCCACAGATGGGGCACTAAACAGGACAAAGAGGCCGGAAGGGGGTTGGGGCTTCCTCACCACTGCGTGGCCACAGTCAAAGTAATTCCGTCAGGTCGTGAGGCCACCGGCCGCTGGGCTGGGGAGGACAGGGCCTCCCTTGCAGGTCGAGGACATTTTTGGACACTGGCCTGACTCAAGCTTTCCCTCTTTATTTTTTACTATCAGTGGTGCTTTGGGGGGGGGGGTTCTGAATGGATGTCTTTCTTTCTTTTTTTCTCTCTCCTTTCTGTGTTAGTTTTAAGGGACATCAGGGTCAAAAAGCCTCGAGTCTGCCTCCCAGCTCTACCTCTTGCTGACTGAGTGGTTGCTTCCCCTTCTGAGCCCTCCTTTTCTCATCTGTACAGTGGAACAGATTAGGGATGTTCTAACAATTGAGATAACGTTCCAGAGGCCTTGGTCCAGCCTCTGCCCACGGCAATAAGTGTTGTGATTATTTCAACACTAGGAATGTCTGTCCCTGGGTGCCAGAGTCAAATCTGGAGTCAAATAAGTTGCCTGAGGAGGGTAGGGGCAGGGGTCCAGGAAAAGAAGAGAAAGGTGGGAGGCAGTTATAGGATTATCTGCAGCGTCTGCGTGATACGT